CACGTGCTTATGGGAGCAGACTATGTTTGCTTTTACCTTGATGACATAGCCATCTACAGTTGCACCTGTAATGAACAACTGCATCATCTGGGTGATGTGCTAGACAGGATTTCGGCTGCTGGGTTAACCATTTCACGTGATAAATGTCAGGTACAAATGGCTGAGGTGCAGTACTTAGGACACAGGATAGGAATTGTTAGCTGTCCAGTTCCCCAGACTAATAAACAGGTGCTTGCATTTTTAGGAACAACTGGGTATTATAGAAAATGTTTCCCTTTCTTACAGCTCCCTGGACAAACTTCTAAATGACCTAACCAAGAGGGCGGTATCCTGTTCTGTGACATGGACACTTGGGTGCAACGAGGCATTCAAAACCCTTAAGAAAGCTTTGGACAAAAAAAAAAAAACCCATACTGGCTGCTCTAGACTACAATCAAAGATTCCTTTTACAGACTGATGCTTCCAGTAGCTTACCTGAGCCGCGATCTACTGGACTGAGAGGCTGGATAAACAGGCATAGAGAAAGAATGTCTAGCTTTTGTATGGGCCCTCAAAAGGTTTCCCCCCCTTCTTTATAGACAAGATTTTACAGTAGTCACAGATCACAACTGCTGGCTCAGCAAGGTCTCCAGGGACAATGGTCGTTTATTACAGTGGAGGCTATCCTTGCAGCCTTATCATTTAATGTGCAACACAGACTGGGTCATGCTCATGGAAACATTAATGACCTCTCAAGACAAGAGGACTGTTAGAAATGTTATACATTAGGACAGAATTGTTGTGTCTAGTCAAGACCACCCCAATCTGCCCTCTCCTTGATCAGGGGAGAAGTGTGAAAACTTGGACTCCATTTATTGTTATGTTGTTATGATAAACCTTACAGTTATTCTTTTAATATTATGTGAAGCATAGTCTCAGAGAGAGAGGGGGACTTGTGTTCTTTGGCAGGTGTGTTGGCTGCTTGCATGAGTAGGACATGTGCATGTACCCGGGTTATAATTGTCCCTCTGTAGTTGCTGTGCTGGGTCTCACAGTTTGTCAGCTGACTGATAATATCAAAATTAATCGGAAACGTTATAGTACAAAAACAGCGGTCCAGGCTTTATTATCGGGAAGATGACATCTAATATCCGGTAGCTGTGACTGTATGTAATCTCAGGAGGGGCAGTGGGAAATTATGTAATTGCCATATGGTGTGTGTATATAAAATGTGTGTAATATCGTCTCCCACTCCATTAACCCCTTAAGGACCAAACTTCTGGAATAAAAGGGAATCATGACATGTCACACATGTCATGTGTCCTTAAGGGGTTAAAGTGCCATTCAAATGTTAGTGGACTATCATATTTTGATTTAATCATCCAAAATAATGGGCTCAGATCTGATAAAGAGCCATCAAGCCATTGGGTTAGATCTTTTTCTATTTTATACTAAATTTCCTTATTTGCTTCCCTTAACTGGGTGGTGACCGCGTGTGAGAAGCTGCAGGCTTTTTGATAATCTCTTAAAATGGGAACCCCCAATCCTCCTAGTTTAACTTTTAAGGATAAACGCTTCCAATTTATTCTTGGGGTTTTACCTAACCATATATATTTATATATAAGGGATTGTGCTAATGTCACCCAACTATCTGGGCAGGGCAGTGGAACCTTTCGAAAAAAGTAAACCCATTTTGGTATGATGTAAGACCTAATTACATTAATGCGCCCCACCATGATTTTCTAAAATTTTCCATTCTTTTAATTTTTTAGCTGTGTATTTAAGAAGTAGTAAAAAATTGAGTTCCATTATTCTATTAACATCATTCGCAATTTCAATCCCTAAATAACTAATTGATAAATTTGCCCATCTAAATTCGAAGTGGTTTTTCAGGAGTATAACAGTGGCCCGGGTAATATTAATAGGTAGAGCTATTGATTTATTAATGTTTAACTTATACCCCGAATATACTGAATATTCATCCATATACACTAGGAGGGCATTAGAAGAATTCAACGGGTCAGCTAGTGTCAATATGACATCGTCTGCATACATTGTCAATTTAACGCTGTCACCTTTCACCTCTAAGCCCTTTATTGCCTCATTTCTCCTTATTGCCACCGCCAGGGGTTCAGTAGCCACTAGGTAGAGGAGAGGGGACAAGGGACAAGAAGATTAGGAAATCTATTAACTTGCATAATAAGTTAATACCTTGTTTACCCATATCGAATCTGTCGTATTATATGTCTAATTTGAAACTGGATAGATGGCTAGAAAATGGAGTGATCAGAATAGACGACCTATTAGATAACAACTCCTGGATGGATTTTCAATCTCTAAGTTTGAAATATAGATTAGAGAGAAAAGAAGTTTTCAGTTATTTAAGGTTAAAAGGCTTCTGTCAGGAGTTTGTTGTTAGAGAAAAGTCAAATAACTTGGCTAGCAAAAATATTTAATAAAGAGTCGCCAAATAAACTAATAGCTGCAGGTATACAGCTTCTAATGAGGGATTCAGATAAACCTCTGGAAGCTTTAATCAATAAATGGCAGAGCGTCCTTGGAATTCAAATTAGCTATAAGCAATGGAGAGATGCCTTAACCTTAGTATATAAAAATATACACTATCTTAAAGGACCACTATAGTGCCAGGAAAACATACTCGTTTTCCTGGCACTATAGTGCCCTGAGGGTGCCCCACCCTCAGGGACCCCCTCCCGCCCGGCTCTGGAAAGGGGAAAAGGGGTAAAACTTACCTTTTTCCAGCGCTGGGCAGGGAGCTCTCCTCCTCCTCTCCGCCTCCGATCCGCCCCGTCGGCTGAATGCGCACGCGCAGCAAGAGCTGCGCGCGCATTCAGCCGGTCGCATAGGAAAGCATTATCAATCAATTCCTATGGACGCTGGCGTGCTCTCACTGTGAAAATCAGAGGCTTTGGGGGAAGGCTTAACCCATTGATAAACATAGCAGTTTCTCATTAAGCTGAAGTGGTCTGGGTGCCTACAGTGGTCCTTTAAGTATAACTTCCAATCTATTATCTGGAATCTCAGTTATTAATGAACTGTTTCTTGCTTGCTCAAATCCTCTCTGCTGCATACACACTAATTATATTGAGGATAACTCCCATCAAGCTTTACCACTATGAACTGTTTCTCGCTTTGCAAATATTCTCTGCTACCTGCATACTATTTCTATTGAAGATTATTCCTATCAACCTAAAGAATATTATTCAATACATCTCTGAGGAAATACTTATTGATGAACTTTGTATTGTTTGCTATAACCAGTAATTTCTTCTTATTGAATTATTACCTATATGCTTTTCACTTACGTTTATCACAATCATTAAAACTTCGTTTGATTCTCTAATTGCCAGCAATCCTCTCTTTTCTTAAAGCTACAGTATTGATCATTTAAAGATTCTCAGTTTCTTCACTATTGTAATTAAGAAGTTCTACAAGCTGCAGCTGAGTTCCAATTCTAAAAACCCTAGTAGCATAACAGCCCCTAGCAGTGAGTTGTGTGCGATAAAGGATTGTGTGTTATAGAGGGATATGTGGGGTTTCATTCTCTATTTCCAACCTAGTCCCCATCAGTGCACAAAGCTAGCAGACCGACAGGAAACACAAGTATGCTGTGTCCACATGACAACAGCTCAGCCTAGGAGTCCTCTAAGAGTATTGACCAAGACCTGGAGCTTCTTTTCCCTTTGTGGTCTAAGCCTCGGAAATAGTGATCGCAATCCATCTCCACAAAGTACAAGTAGAGACTACTTCCCCTCTTCTTGAACCAAATAGAACAAGGAAAATTCTGTCCGATTGTCTGACATTCTTAGTTTTTAAAATACATGTTCCTAGACATATCTTCACATCCATATTTAATCATCTCTTATCTTCTCCGTGTTATGATCTGGAGTGAATGAAGGGAGAATAATTTCTCAACTAAGTTAAAGCTAGCACCAGGCTCTTTTGCCAAGTTTTAACAAAATCTCACTTGGTCGGGTTGGTAAAGGATAAGCCTGAACATACTGCCCTTTTCTTGAGTATATGCCAAATTCTATAATATGCCGATGATATATAGACTTTCCTATACTTCCAAAGTAAGTGTGGATTAGCTCAGATGCTCTTTTCCAGTAAACTTGGCCTGTAAAAAGCTAAATTGAGGTTCTGTGGAGCAGCATGGTTTGGTTTGTTAGACCTTTGGGGGAGCTGGAAAAATCAATAGCTTGTCTCAATAGCTTCAGCTCTCTCATTATCAGAGGAAATTGAGAAAATACTTGGTTAGTTAGGACAAACTTACAAATTTGCGTTAGAGAATTCCAGTCTTTTACTGGAGGTTCCCAATTCCTTGAATAGAATGGTGGAACATGAGCCAATATTATCGCTATTGTTGACAATACATTCCTGTTCAGCATTCATTCTCTCAAGTCTATTACTGTTTTGCAAAAAAAAAGTCTGCAAGGACATTCTCCGTCTCCATATGGTAAACTGCTCTCAATCATTCTAGGTTAATTTGAGCCCATAACATTTTCTTTCTTTTTCCTCAGATTGGTGATGCCTTATTTGCTGTCTTGCTGTTGTGCTTCAGGATGTCCCAATATGTCTGGGTAATGCATAATAAGCATTTTGGGGCTCTGAGGATTGCTCACATCTACAACATGTTAGATGGGATATCTTTCAACTGTTTATACCACTTCCTTTGAGCAATGAGATTTTTACATGGGTCTCCCCATCATTACATGCTGGCATTTGAGGTAATGTATATCCAATTTGTATGAAGAATATGATGATTTTTTATATCCTGCAGTAGAAAAGCTTTTTTTACCCCCTACCTCATTCTGAGTGGCTTTGTTAGAACTTTTCCTATCAACAAACCCCTTTGAAATTAAAGAGAGCACAGATTTAAAAGGACTCTATACCAGGGCCAGACTGGGAAATTTTTTTTCAATTAGAGCGGCCCCCCAAGAAGGGGGCGCGGCCAGAGAGGGTGTTTTTTGTCATCACTAATGACAAGTACGCCCCTTCTGAAAGTGAGCATGTTGGTTCAATGCGCAGAGCCCCGCTGAAGAGCTCTAGCATTAAAAAAAGGCCCTGAATTTGTTCTGCGCAGCGCAAGCAAATGTAATAACATGCTTGCGCTGTGTTTGCTTTTAAATTGTCTTTGGTGTCTCCACAAGTGGGATACCAGAGGACAAAAGGGCCAGGAAAGTGTATGGTGCATGTGTTTGGCGGATGCTTGTGGGATTGCCTGTGTGTAGAGTGTGGTATTGTGTAAATAGGTCCATTTTGTGCTGTAATATGTGTGGCTAGGGGCTGTAGAGAGTGCGTGTATAGGGGGCATAGTGTTATAGGGGATGTAGCGAGTGTGTACATACAGGCAGTAGTGTGTGTGTATAGGTGACATAGTGTGTGTAGGGGTTGAAGAGAGGGTGTGTTTAGAGAATGTTGTATGTGTTTGCTTACAAGGAATGTAGTGTGTGTAGGTGGTGCAGTGTGTGTGTGTAAGAGATCTAGTGTGTCTGGGGGTGCTGTGTGTGTCTGGGGGTGCTGTGTGTGTTTGGGTGCTGTGTGTGTCTGAGGGTGCTGTGTGTGTCTGAGGGTGCTGTGTGTGTCTGGGTGCTGTGTGTGTTTGGGTGCTGTGTGTGTCTGGGTGCTGTGTGTGTTTGGGTGCTGTGTGTGTCTGGGGGTGCTGTGTGTGTTTGGGTTCTGTGTGTGTCTGGGTGCTGTGTGTGTCTGGGTGCTGTGTGTGTTTGGGTGCTGTGTGTGTCTGAGGGTGCTGTGTGTGTCTGGGGGTGCTGTGTGTGTTTGGGTGCTGTGTGTGTTTGGGTGCTGTGTGTGTCTGGGTGCTGTGTGTGTTTGGGTGCTGTGTGTGTCTGGGGGTGCTGTGTGTGGGTGCTGTGTGTGTCTGTGTGTGTTTGGGTGCTGTGTGTGTTGGGTGCTGTGTGTGTCTGGGTGCTGTGTGTGTCTGGGGGTGCTGGTGTGTTTGGGTGCTGTGTGTGTGAGGGGGCTGTTAGGGAATTTATTTTAATTTTTTTTTATTAATAATTAAAAAAGAAAAGTTATGTGTATGGTAGCCATTCTGCATTCCCTGGTGGTCCTAGTGGTGAGAGTGAACTCTAACCTGCAGGCTAGAGTTCACTCTCGTGAGAGCTGAGCGTTGCCGCGGTAACCACGGCAACGCTCAGAATCGAGAGGACCCGGCGGAGCTGCTGGTTAGAGCTCCGCCGGTCCTCTCTCTTGCCTCCCTCCCTCCCCAGCCTGCGGCCGCATCTCCATGCCTCTGGGCTGGTGAGGGAGATCTTTGATCTCCCCACCGGCCCACGGAGGCACTATGCAGGGCCGTCGCTCGGATAGCGCTGGCCCTGCAGGGTCCGGCCGGGGAGATCCCCTGCCGGCCTCGGCCCCACGGCCATCGTGGCCCACCGGGCATTTGCCCGGTATGCCCGATGGCCAGTCTGGGCCTGCTCTATACTCACCAAAGCAACTTAAGCTTAATGAAGCAGTTTTGGTGTATGTCCATTATGCCTGTCCTTTATGAGTACATTTTTTGTTTATAAATCCCTAGTCACACCACCCTGCATGCAAATTGTACAGTCATCTTAAACACTTCCTGTACAGAGAGATCTAATGTTTAAGCTTCCTTAATTTAGAATTGATTGTCTCCTGCTCTGTTAATAGCTTGCTAGACATTGCAGGAGCCTCCTGTATGTGATTAAAGTTCAATTTACAGAGCAGGAGATACAAACTTTAAAGTAAGTTACATCTGTTTGAAAATGAAATTTTTTTTTGTTTGTTCATGCAGGCTGTGTCAGTCACAGCCAGGGGAGGGGGTGGGGTGGAAGCTAGAGCTGCATAACCAGAAGCAACAGTGATTTAAAGGGACACTATAGTCACCCAGACCAGTTCATCTCATTGACATGGTCTGAGTGCACCGTTCCTCTCTCCTTATCAATATTATTTTTGGCATTTATATAACGGCAACATATTCCGCAGCACTTTACAATTGTGACGAAGTGCCCTTCGCCACTTGGTACTGGAGAGGCCTGCTTGCCAGCCTCCTCCCCTGTGACTATGACTCTTTGATGTATTTGCCTTTAAAGCCCCTAGTCTACCTTCAGACAGACTATTTATGTAGGCTGCTTTATTTATCTTATGTTTTAGTCACCCTGTACCCATTATAGGTGCAGGGTGTGTGTAATATAATTGTTTATAGTGTGTGTGTGTACTGTGAAATGTATTGCCTTCTCTCCTGTACTGCTGAGGTTTGCTACCAACTAGGTGGGTTTGGCTATGGAGCTTGTCTAGTGCCCTCTGTTGGTAGCAACAGCAATATGCACTACCTGAATTGCAAGACTGGTTCATTTGCATATTCGGGTAGATTTGCATATTGCTAATTCTGCAGGCAGGTGAGATATTTACTGTTAAATATTGTCTCCCCCCACCCCTTTAAAAATGTGCCATTGTGTTGTGATAAGTCACTGTGTGTTTCTTGATATGGTTTGACTGTTTGTGATTTTATTGAGGTTTCACAACAATGTTATTGTGGTGACTGTTTTGGCTGGTGCCAAGGGAATAAAGGTTTTGACAGTTCTTCTTGATCCCTCTAAACATAGCCTTGTCTTGTTATTGGAGGGAGCTGTTCTAATCACACTGGGGATTGCTATGCTCTGCATGCTCCCCTGAGCTTGAGTCACTTAGCTCTTTTAAGAGCTTGTTCCTGACATGCTCTCCTTGGAGGAGGGGTCTTCACCACACAGTCCTGGATGCTGGAGGTTCATACAGGGTGGAAGGAAGAGTTCTTTCCCACACAGTCCTGGAGGACAGAAGCTGATCCAGGGTGGAAGGAAGATGGCAAGACTCCAGTCAAGATGCGGTGGTTGCGGAGGCTGCGGTGGTTGTGGTGTCTGCTGCAGCGCTTGGAGTCCTCAGGAAGTGCTAGGAGCATCCGTCAACGGAGGGTACTCAGTCGGAGTACAAGGAGCTCCGTTACAACAATATTATTAAAAGGGGAAATTAAACAATAAGTGAGACAAAATCTAAAAGGTTACAGGAACAACAGGTTGACAAGGGTTCTGTTCAAACGAGCTTACAGTCTAGAGACTGCCTCTAGGGGCTATCTACTAGACATTGTCCCTATCGCCGAGAGCTCTGTATGGCCGATCTGCGTGGATTTCCAATGTACCATTGGCTGGGGTTTATGTGCACAGGTACCAAGAACGTGGCCATTGTTGGGAGTGACATGAGGCTTTACATACCCAACAGAAGCTGAAGTGGTGCAATGGAGATGCAGGGAGAGAGTGGTCTGAGGACTCTTGGTGGGGGGTCCACTGGACTGCATCAGTGTCCAAGTGCCCATTGTGCCATAGACTGCACTAGTGGAGGGCAGAGATGGCTTAGGGGGCTGGGGTGGGGGATCAGAACCTTGGGGAACTTAATGCTTTAATATTGTATACAGCCCTAATATGTTTTTGTGATTATCATGCACCGTCATAATGTAATGGCTCCTGTAGTGGGGGTTACCTCGGCGGGGGACAAAAAAAAATGTGTATTTTTTTATTGACATTCCATAATGTTCAGCCGTACATGCTCAATACAAGACCCTTGAGGGCACTAGGATATACGCCTACTGGTACTCAAGAGGTGGTCTTCACGTGTGCCTTACTCCATTTTATCTAGTCCTTCTTTGTTGGGCATTTGATAACGTAATACAATTTTTTTCCCTTTCTCTTGCGTATGCATATATATATCCTGGCTCCAACGCTCTACAACATATCTTTTAGCTCTTTATTCCAGATCATACTGTTTAACCCCTTAAGGACTGGACTGTTTTTGCGATGTTGTACATTTGCGACCAGGCATATTTTTACACTTTTGTGGTGTTTGTGTTTAGCTGTAATTTTCCGCTCTCTCATTTACTGTTCCCATACAAATTATATATTGTTTTTTTTCAGGACAAAAGGGTCTTTCTTTACATACCATCATTTATATAATCTCATGTATTTTAATTTTAAAAAAATTTAAAAATATGATTAAAAATTGAAAAAAAAATACATGTTTTTTTACTTTTACTTGAAATTTGTTTTACTCATCTACAAAAGCGAATTAAAAAAACTGCTAAATAGATTCAAAATGTTGTCCTGAGTTTAAATATACCAGTGTTTACGTGCTTTTCTTTGCAAGTTATAGGGCTATAGGTACAAGTAGGATATTGCGGTTTCAAAACATACATTTTTAAAATTTATCAATAGTGACATTGTAACACTATTATCTGTCATAAATCTCTGAATAACACCCCACATGTACATATTTTTTTTAAAGTAGACAACCCAGGGTATTCAATATGGGGTATGTCCAGTCTTTTTAGTAGCCACTTAGTCGAAAACACTGGCCAAAGTAAGCATTCATATTTGTTTGTGTGTGAAAAAAGTAAAAAAACTAAATTGAACGCTAATTTTGGCCAGTGTTTGTGACTAAGTGGTTACTAAAAAAGACTGGACAATACCCCATTTGCAATACCTTGGGTTGTCTTCTTTTGCAAATGGTATGCCATCATGGGGGTAATTCTCATTCCTGGGCTACCATATGCTCTCAAAGGCAACGTAACCAACCTGGCCATTTTCAATGTAAAAATATTTTACCCATATATTTGACCTTGTAACTTTCAAAAATGCTATAAAACCTGTACATGGGGGGTACTGTTTTACTCGGGAGACATCGCTGAACACAAATATTAGTGTTTAAAAACTGGAAAACGTATCACAACAATTATATCATCAGTAAAAGTGCTGTTTGTGTGTGAAAAATGCAAAAAAAGTCACTTTCACTGACAATATCATCGCTGTGATATGTTTTACTGTTTTGAATCACTAATATTTGTGTTCAGCGAAGTCTCCCGAGTAAAACAGTACCCCCCATGTACAGGTTTTAGGGTGTCGTAGAACGTTACAGGGTAAAATACAGTGCTAGCAAATTAAATTCTCTGGAATTTCGGCCTGGTTTGGCAGGCAGGTCCCTCAAATTGCAATCAATAAAATTACTGAATTATGTAAAAATATTACATAAATACGCACGTAGAATTTAAATATATATGCATATTTATATATTTGAAGTCTACGTGTATATTTATATAATTATTTATGTAATTTTGTATATGGACATATGTATATTTTGTATTATTTGTATTTATTTATATATACATAGATATATATACAAATTCATTCTAAGTGTATTTTGATATAAATATATATATATTAATTTTAAAATACAGTTAGAATAAAATTTCATATAGATATATCATTTTTTTATTATTATTTTTACATTTTTAATTTAATTTAAATTACTTATTATTTATATTTTATAATAATATATATACAATATATATAGTTATTATATATATTATATATATATACATGTGTAATTTAATTATAAGTGCATTTTTATATTAATATATGTACATATTAATATAAAAATACACTTAGTATGACATTATATATATGATATATAGACATATATTATATACATTTAATATATATATATACACATATATAATTTATTTTTTTTATTAACATTAACTTTATTTTTTTTATTTTTTTTACACATGCAGGGAGACTTCCTGTCAGCACAGGCAGTCCCCCTACAGGCAGACACATGGACACCTATTGTGACCATGTGATCCCTGTGTTGAGCGATCACATGGCCCCAGGGGTCCTAATCCAGTGTGGGGAGACTGTCTGGGCTGCAGGCATTCTCCCCACAATGGGAGCACCGCT